GTTTTATTATTGGGTCATAGGCTCCTTATTGATAGATAAATAACCTGAGTCCAATCTGGTTTGTAATGCAGTTTCAAACTTTATCACAAGTAAGAAATATATAGCCARGGGTGTCTGTTTAATGATTAAAAATGGGTAAAATGCTACAAACCTGTAAATTTTTGATAGTTTCTCCTCCTTTACCTAGACAAGCAGGGACAAAAACAAGTGATTTCAGAAAGGGGATTTCATCTAAGATAAAATTCAATGCCTTAACAAGAGTATGACAATCTCTCTGTTGGGAAAGGGGGAACATTTGAAAACAGATGTTAACCTGTGACCCATGTTTTATTAACCAAGATCATTCTCATGAATATCATTTTGCTTTTGCCATTGTTTTCATTTCTATATYATTGTTCATACCAGGCCGYGCCATTGCRGGATTCACGYATAAAAAACAGAAATGGCCCACAATTTTCAATTCTATGGGCCCCACTCTTGTCAGTGGGAAGTATTAATACTAAAATGGTAACACCTTACCAATGATAAGTCCAACTTTGCTAGCAGGAATCATCATTTCACATACAGTTTCTCCTGGTGCTACAACAGGTACAGACATCTAAAAAAGTAAGAAGTTCCACCATAAATACTCATAAAGGAAGCTTTCATTTATTAACACATGGGAAGGGGGAKGTCAGCAAAATTGTAGTAAGGGTTACGTTAATTTGAGACAGTGGTTAGGGAAGGGGGTTGAGAACTATTGCAGSGTGTCAAACCACTTTGCATGGATACACAAGTTTTCCATTTCCCATGATGTAATTTTGTATAATTCCGGATGATAAAATATTTGATGTGTAAAGGGCCCTTGGAGCTGGAAATAGGGACTCGGTGATTAAACTTACCAGACTATCTGGAATCTTGCCTTCTTCACAAATTCTATGTAAGAGTGCCTTTGCTTTACTGTTGGAGAAATGCATAGTGTCTTAGAAGGATAATCCAACACAAGAACATCAAATGTAACATATTTTTTAACAGTTTGTAATCAAATTGTAAGGTAAAATTTTAACCGGCATCRCAATGGCAAATAGCTCTTGTGCTGTGAGGAGAAGCACAACTGATCTGGAAACATATTTTGTCTCTGGAAAACTTTAGTTTTACACTGAAACCAAGGGTTTCTCACTATGCAGGGTTTTCAATAGMAGCCGGCAACTGGCAGATTCCGCCGTCTACTCTTGCTAATTCAGCCGCCTATTCAGCCACTTCCCAATGTAAATTGTGATTAAAGTTCTTTAAAGTTCGTTAAAATAAATTTTGAAGCAATCTTTGTTGCTTTACTACGAAAACTGCAACGCAATCGAAACTACAACGATCGTTGCCCGCCATCTTGAATTTTTGTGAGAAGARTGARACTGATGACAAGTATGCCTCGATTACATGCTCCAGCRATTTYCAGTTTACCGCCTATTTCAATTTCATAAYTGCCTACCAAAACTTTTATTGACAACCCTGACTATGATGTAAAATTATCAAACCAACACATACTCAACAGCCTGGRTGGATCCACTGATTGTTACAGCTCTGTCTGGAGGTGGCATAATTCCCATCGGTGGATCTAGATAACCAAAGTATAGGTTAGTACAGTACATTGTTCTAATGTTGACTTAGTCAACAAAGAGCCATTGAGGGATCACCCTCTTGAACTCAGTTTTGGACTGTGTCAGTCTCTTCACATTGTCCACTGACGTTCCAAGCTCTGTCCAATCTTTTGCCTCCAGTCTCTGTAGTATTTCTTACTTGGCTTTGCAAACAGAACAGATGTTGTATGACTTTTAAAGAATGCTACCGACATGTTGTTGCATAACTGTGATACATATGTACACATACATACGTAAACTTTATTTATTTTGAACTTCCAGCACAGATATACAGCGGCAGCGGAAGCTGAAAATCTTTGGGGGGCACTGAAATAATATATTTAACACTATGTGATCATGATTGCTGCTTTGTTTGATTGTTGGCACATGTGCCATAAAACTGACTGAGAACCAATATTTTGTGGGGAGCACATGCCCCCCGGCCCCCCCAGTTCCACCCTCCCTGATATATGGTGGCTAATATCTTCCAGGATGTTGGTGTTTGTAGACAAACAAAATTACCTACCTGGAGCAACTTGTATTCTTGCCCCAGTTTCTGACTGAAGTTTGTTTATTTGTTCTCCACCTCTGCCAATAACTGAAAAAAGAAAACCAAGATAYTCCTATAAACATTACGAAGGTGAACCAAGCTAGAACCAATGGACTACTTTTACGATACTGCAGCCATCTTGCCAGGGGCAAAACAAAASARA